TGATTCTGTAGTACACAATGGAAGGGTTAAACTTGTGTCTTCTATTGATAAATAATAAATGGTTTAAATAAGTTGAGTAAGAATTTCCATTAACAAATATACCTTAGGGCATTGGTTGACAGTATTAGTTTCTTACCTCTGGGACTAAAACCCCATCATATAGAATCAATCACCTTCTATTAAATTAAATCAAGTATTTACTCTCTAAATCACGTGATATTTATTTATGTCGATGATTTACAATTTACTTTGCACGCATTTTATTAAAGAAATTTGAAATTTAAAATTAAATAATTTTTTGCTTAAATAATAATAATCCTAGAACCTAAATAATTATTTACCAGATTTGGAACGTTTGAAAAAATCATTCAAGTTTTTGCTAGCGAAATCCGAAGTTGAAATAGTAATTCGAAATTCCAAATCCAATTCAAAACAAAATCATTCAATCCCTTTTGATTATTATTATACAAACTCCTTATTCCAAGAACATTTGAAGGATTAGAATTTGTCAAAGAACTTGTTTCATCCAAAAAATTATCATTTTGATATTTATGTAAGATAAATTGTTTTATTTCGATAGATGGACTTGGACATCTGTTTGCTAATGTTTTTGTTCCAATTATACAGGTGGAATCGTGCTTGCCAGAATACCTTTATTAAATGTGCCCAAAAAATGCCGGATGTCTTCCAGCACTCTTAGAATTTGACAAATAAAGACTTCAAGAATCAATATTGCTCGATATAACTTAAAAGCAATACATTTTTTTTAGAAAATTTTAATTGGTTGAAATCGAAATGCTTTTGCCTTTTTTTTTCAAACAATTTTTATGATAATTCAAGATGATATTTTTAAATTGATAGTATAAATAATAAAGAAATCTAAAACTTCTGCTTGCGTTAATATAACACAGTACAATTTTAAATTTACAGTTGCATATATAATAAATAAACTTGAGAGAAATTTGTCGAGTAAAATTCAATTAATTTGATGGTATTCGATCCCAGATTTTACTAATTCGTTAATTGTTAAAAGGTTAATAATAATATTAATATAGTAGTAATGGTATAAGGCATTGTTTTCATATGTCAACTGTTAGATGGAATGATAAATAAAGAATGGAAAGAAAGAAAGTGATAATGTCTTCTTTCTTGACAATGTAAATGCCTCTTGTATCTTCTAGTTATTATAATCTCATTCACTAGTTAGCACAAGAGCAAAAAAAAAATTTCCAATTTTCAGTGTCAACATAAATAGGTATCGATTTCGATAATCATGGTTCCAAACATTTCGATTTCAACCAATTAAAATTTTCTAAAAAAAATGTATTGCTTTTAAGTTATATCGAGCAATATTGATTCTTGAAGTCTTTATTTGTCAAATTCTAAGAGTGCTGGAAGACATCCGGCATTTTTTGGGCACATTTAATAAAGGTATTCTGGCAAGCACGATTCCACCTGTATAATTGGAACAAAAACATTAGCAAACAGATGTCCAAGTCCATCTATCGAAATAAAACAATTTATCTTACATAAATATCAAAATGATAATTTTTTTGGATGAAACAAGTTCTTTGACAAATTCTAATCCTTCAAATGTTCTTGGAATAAGGAGTTTGTATAATAATAATCAAAAGGGATTGAATGATTTTGTTTTGAATTGGATTTGGAATTTCGAATTACTATTTCAACTTCGGATTTCGCTAGCAAAAACTTGAATGATTTTTTCAAAAGTTCCAAATCTGGTAAATAATTATTTAGGTTCTAGGATTATTATTATTTAAGCAAAAAATTATTTAATTTTAAATTTCAAATTTCTTTAATAAAATGCGTGCAAAGTAAATTGTAAATCATCGACATAAATAAATATCACGTGATTTAGAGAGTAAATACTTGATTTAATTTAATAGAAGGTGATTGATTCTATATGATGGGGTTTTAGTCCCAGAGGTAAGAAACTAATACTGTCAACCAATGCCCTAAGGTATATTTGTTAATGGAAATTCTTACTCAACTTATTTAAACCATTTATTATTTATCAATAGAAGACACAAGTTTAACCCTTCCATTGTGTACTACAGAATCATTACAGCAAATTTATTGTATATGAAAAAAAAACATTACCTACATGTATATATCAAGCTTTACAAAATCAAAATGTGAACATTATTACCGTTACTACTATTAATCACCAATATTAATCTTACTCCCATAAATATTCATAATCCTCATCATCATAATCCTTTTCTTCTACAACTTCAACTTTTGTATCCAAGGTAATGCTTTTCAATTCCCAAACTAATCCTTCCCTACCTAGTCTATTTCTTTTCCCAGTTGATCTAACTTCATCACCACCAACAAAGCCAACAGAGCCATCAAA